AAATACTATATTATTGTATACAAATACTAACTTAGCAATGATTTGTGTATAAGGTTTCCATAAGAGGTCAGTACAAAAAGATAATTAAAGACAATTTAAAGTAGAAGACACAATAACAATGTTGCCATTCATGAATATAGGAATATTAACAAGATTGCAAATACTTTTTTAAAACTTCGCCAGATACACTATACCATCCAGAGCAATAGAATGTGCATCACCGCCTCTATCTAATGTTAATTTCAAACCTTTCTGTAACAACAGTTATTAGGTCCAAAAACAGATGATTGAAATCCATATGTTTCATCAACAAATAGAGCCAATTTTGAGTTTTTCAGGATGATCATTAATGTTGGTTAGAAATGGTAAAAGGCTGAGGATAGAAGTTCACCTTGTTAGTTAATTTGGTGTTAGCTAATTTGGTGTTACAATAAACATGATATTAAGTATGTGAAGATCTTAGTGCTAAAAGTGCTTGTATGCATCATTCATGCATGCTATATTATAATATAGCATACATCCATGATGCATACAAGTATAAAAAAAAAAGTTTCAAATGTTCAATTATACAAAAAGATTATGGATGAAATACCACAAGTATATATAACTGATTATGCAAGTAAGTTGTCGTACTTTACATCTTTGAAGACTAATAATAATTGTAATGAACATATCTCTGTAATGAACAGGATGCACTTGGATTTATATTTTAGTTGGATCATCACCACTTCAACAGCCACCTTGTCTCAAGCATTCAATTGAATTCTAAGATATCTTTATTCAAATCAAGTGTGGATACTATACCAAAATAATGTAGAATGGACTAATCAAGTAAGATGTCTAAATTTATATCTTTTATATAGAACTCCTTTACTTTTAGATAGACCTGTTAATTTTATGACTTATAAACATATTTAGCATTATAATCCTTTTAGGATAGACTTTAAAATCAAATTTACAATGCTTTAGTAAATTTTCATTTAAAATAACTTTGCATACATAATATACCTATATAGTTATTTACATTATAGCTAACCCATTAGTACTTGCAAAGTCTCCTTTTCTGTTAGCCTGAAAATTGAGTTCTAAAATACTATTATTCGCTATATCAAATACTATATCAAAAGACAATCTAATGGATTGATCAAGTAATACTTAATTTTTAGTATGAGTTTCATGTTAGTACATATATGATTTTGATAAATAAAATTTAATTATTATGATTGATAAGTTTTTAACTTTAAGAATTTTAAGAATTACAATTTTATTTTTGCATGTTTATTTATATTGTAGTAAAACTGTCGGTATTTCCACAACTTTTCAATTGAATAGAAAGTTTCAATCAAACAGGGTACTGAGTGTGCATATTAAACTTTATTTATATATTTTATTACTTGTATAGTATATATTCATCCTGGTCATCCATTATAAATTTTTATTATATAAATAATGTTTTATATTTTACAGAGTTTTAAAGAAAAGTTCTCTATCAATTATTACTATAGTTACTCAAAATCTTTTAAAATCTATAAAACTATGGATTTATAAAGTTATTCAATGAATGATTCATATGAATAGAATGAAGATGTTTATTGAGTTATTTTTATTATTTTTATAACTTGTATTGAAAGGAGATTGCACGTCCTTGGTATCCGCAATACGGTATTGTGATTTGGTTCCCATCTTAAAATGGCTCTTATCCGTATAGGTGGAAATAGGAAAGGTTATGTACTTTTTTCTAATTCTTAAGACGATGAGGCTTAATCGATTCAAGCAAAGATGACGATGATCATTATGGAGCCGATCATGATGACGAATAAGATAATGCATATAATAATAAATAAAATGATTTTACTTGTATTTTAGAATTATATAAATAAAAAATTGTCTGTTTAACGTTTGATTTGTTTATGAGTATTTAGATAATGCGTTCAGCGTTTAAATTTTCTTTACGGTGCTTATTTAAAGCAACTTAAATAAAAGAAAAGTTTGATTCGTTCATCAGTATTTTTTTATTTATTTAAGCTTCTTAAAAGTTTAACGTCGCGAAGTTTTAAACGAAAGATTTAGATGGAGTTTAAATAGCGTTTATAACGAACCATTTAGATATGCTTTAAATTTAACTTTCGATTGACCTACGTTCTTAATCGAAACTAAATTAAATCTAAACATTTAGAATCTACTCCAGCCTTTAAGCCCTCTTGAGGAAACATTTGTTGGCTGTTTAGGAGTTCCCAGTCAATATGCCACTCATTGTTACCAGAGTGATTCAGCAATCTGTAAGTGCCTGTATATGATGTATCAAACAGACTGTCGAGTTTCAATGTAAAACATTTAGTTTTTTGCTTTACTTTTGTTTCTTTTCTGCTGTGTTCAGGTGTCTCATATTTTTTTAACAAGCGGACAACCTGATCAGCACAGTTCTTTCTGTTAGACTTCGTTGACATACGAGCAGATTACCAAAAGATTGCAATGATGCTGCTAACTAGATGATTTGCAATGATTTTTTTTTCTTTTCTAGGATTGTTTTCTCGCTCAAAAAGATATTTTTGCAATATAACTTTTTTCAATGGCAGCTTTTCTCCCCTAAAATTTTCTAAGGAAAAAACAACAATTTAATGATTTAAACAAGAAGAACGTCTGCTTTTTTTAGCGGCAATACTTTTGTTTATAGCAATTGCTGGAATATGTATTGAATCTATTAAACATTTTTTTTTCCTGATATGAGTACTGTTTCTTCTGCTTCAATAGATATATAATTTTCAAAACTTTTACTAGGTCTACCAACCTTCTTTGGTATGGAAACCATTGCCGTTGTACAATATAAGACTGAAAAAAAATGAACTCTGGTAACTATATATTTAGATATATACTTTTTATTCATTGAAAGAATATAGAATAAGGTTCATTAAAAACTTGGTAAATTAAACTTATTAACGTTGGAGGCATGTTTTTAAAAACCATTGTTGCAATAACAAAATTAAAAACTTAAGACAACAATTTCTTTAAATGCAATATCACAATTTTAAATTTATGATGGAATGAAAGTATCAAGAATATGATGGAATGAAAGTATCAAGAATATGATGGAATGAAAGTATCAAGAATATGTTTGAAAAGGAATAAGAGTAACTAAACTGAATTACGCAACATCTGTTACGCAACATTTGTGGTGTTTTGAAACGAACGTTACACAACATTTGTAATGTTTTTAATCAAATGTCTTGTGGGATAAGTACAATTATTCGTGAATTACTAAATTTTTGTAGAAATTTTCCTTAATTATTAAAAAATGAGTTATGTAAACCTTACTAAGAAACAATAACAGATAGTCAGTAAAAACGTTGCACAACAGTTGCTCAATCCATTACTTGAACTTCCAATGTTTTGTGGGGGATCTAAAAGTTGTTCTAAGTTCTAAATTTTTGGTATTTAACGTTTATAGATCAAATATCACCACTGGTAAAAACTCCGGGCAAAATTTTAAAAAATGTTTATTATGGACCACCCTACTCAACATCCACAGTAACGTTATATGTTGCATTAGAGGATCACAAAAAAGCGAGATATAATCGCTCCGAATCAGGCTGGTTCAATAATTTCTGCTTCAAGTACTGTTTTGAAACCATAGCACTACCATATTGTAAATCTTTGCCAGATAAGAGGACACATAATGACATCAACACCTCAGTAAGTAATGCTTTTCAATATTAATTTAAAAGACTCAGGCATAAAGATGAAAAAAATGGTCCATTAAAAAGACAGAAAAGAACTAGATTAAATAATGTGCCAGAAAAAAGTGTGACTGGTTAAACCAGTAATGATGAAAATTTAATGTTTATCATCTTTACATGCATGTTTTTTTGACTATTAAAATTTTTATCAAATAACTGTCTAATGGCTCCGATTGTTTTTGTTAGTATAAAATTGTTTTGTATTATTAGCAAGCATGAATAAATTAATTTTCAATGATGCGTTATAAAATCATTTATATAAATTAAAAGCAGAAGCAGATCAAGAATTGATCCTTTAAGAACTCCATACAAAGTATATAAAATTAGAATAAAATTTAAGCTTTAGTTATGGATCAGAGGTGTGCTTAGACTGTTTTTGTTTGAAATAACTATATACTTTTACATTTATTTCCGTTGCTATTATATCTGTCCTTTAAAAAAACAAACATTCAAAACCAAGTCCATTAACCTAAATAGGTTGAGCCATTAAGCTAATGTACGTACCTTTACGACTCAAAGTAAAGTGCCTTTTAATCTTAAACCTTAAGGTTTAATATTTAACCTTAAGGTTTAATATTTAACGTTAACCTTTCGTTTGTAAGATTAGTAATTAGATGGATTTTAACAGTTAAAGTATTACAGATAAAACTGTTTTATTATAGTTTTTAAATCATGATTTAGCGTATCGCTGGACTTCTCCCTTCCTTTCGCAAACTGTCACAAATCTTTTTACTATTTTTTCATCCTTAATACTTTATATACAGCCTCTATCGTAAAATGTATTTAATATCAAAAATATTTTTTCATTCTACGTTATATATTTTCGTTATGTTTTCGGTGTACGTTTTGTTTTTCAATTGTATTTTACTTGATTTTGTTTTTATCATTTTTGCTTTTTTTTAATTGGTTTTATTATTCAGCATTTCTGGTTTTTTTGCAATACAGGGTTTTTGATTCTGGATTCAATTTATGTATTATGCCGTTCTTCTCAAATTTTCTTTATTCTTCTTCTCATCTTGATGCCAATATATCTGTCGAACGCATGAAAGGGTAAATATATAAATAGTATTTATGAATGTTTGTTTCAATTGACCTTGCACTCTGATGATAAAACTTCAAGTGTAATTCTCACTTAATCAAAAATTGCCTTTTGTTTTTTCAGGTCCTATTAATGTCAACACTTTTTATCTGCGCTTATTTTCTTTTTATTGTGTATTGGCACATCTGCATAAACATTTGATATCTATATAAACAAAATTTTAATTTCAATCTTTTTCCTTCAAAATGATTTTATTATTTTCAGTTTTGCTTCACTTTGCTTTGTCACAGGATTCATCCGAAGGTTTACTTTATGTTTGGTTTTATAGATATTACTTTTTATACCTTATAGATATAAAAATTAATTATTTTTAAGTACCTTTTACTTTAGTATGCGAAGACAGTACATGGAAATGTTTGACCTGGAAACATTATTGCAACGACCCTCAAAACAGATACTACATGGAAATCAATTGCCGACAAACATGTGGATTATGTCCAAGTATATATAATTATTGTATAAAGATATTGCATAAAATCTATTTTTTATGATGTTACTGTTGTACTTTATTTAAATCTTGATATTTGTATAAAAGCCATGAATTTATTACTACCAAATGAAAAACCAAAAAGTTGAATAAAAAAAGATTTGACAATCGAAAAAATTGAATAAAAATCGAAAAAATTGAATAAAAAAATTAATTTTTGAGTAATTGATTAATTACGTTTAATAAATACTACTACTACTACTACTACTACTACTACTACTACTACTACTACTACTACTACTACTACTACTACTACTACTACTACTACTACTACTACTACTACTACTACTACTACTACTACTACTACTACTACTACTACTACTACTACTACTACTGCTACTACTACTACTACTACTACTATTAATTAATTAACTACAATTTTATAATATGTTTAGTTTGTGAGGATCTTGATACTACATGTGCAATTCAAAAGGGTAAATGTCAAGATAGCGCAAAAAAGGTATGGATGGAAAAAAACTGTCAAAAGTCGTGCGGATTTTGTAAAGGTAAAAACATAAAAATTTTTAGAAACTAAAATAAAAAATGAATAAGAAATTAATTACTTATTTATACATTTTTTCTTTAAAGTACAGGCAACAACAACCACTCCAGCGCCAAGCCCTACGCCAACTTGGAGTGTTATACCAGCGGGTAAACTTTTAATTTTCTTGAATAATATCGTTTGGTGTTTAAAACATCATTGACTTAATTTTATACGCAAAAATCTATTTTTACACTTATATATATATATATATATATATATATATATATATATATATATATATATATATATATATATATATATATATATATATATATATATATATATATATATATATATATATGCATATATATATATAATATTTATATATATATATATATATATATATATATATATATATATATATATATATATATATATATATATATGTAAAGGTAAATGTGGTATACCAAAAGTGCAAAATGGGCGTGTTATTAATGGCGTTAATGCAGCAAAAGGCGCTTGGCCTTGGCAAATTCTTATCCGATTTATGGACGAACCTCATTGTGGAGGAACAATTATTAGTCCGTTTTGGATACTTACTGCTGCACATTGTGTAGCTGATAAAGAAGCGCTTATTTCTCGTTTTGAAGTAATGTATGTTTTTAAAATTAAACTTTATGCTATTGTAAATATTTTTTTTTTCATTTTTGAAAACTGGCATTCTTTTTTTTTTTATTCTATTTTTTTAAATGTATAAATTATGCATTTTTTAATAGAGTTGGTGAACACGATTTTAATAATGACACAGAAGGAACTGAAATGTCAATAGGAGTTAGTAAATTTATCATTCACAATCAGTATCAGCGAAATGTTCTTGATTATGACGTTGCTTTAATGAAGTTATCTCGCCCTGTTCCATTTGGTAAACATGTTGCAACGGCATGTCTTCCAGATAAAGGGTACGAGATTCCTACTGGTACTAAATGTTTTATCACAGGCAAGTTATTGGTAGTTTAATCATTATTTTGGATTGATAAAATCATGTTTATTTTTTGTATTTTATGAATTATTCGAATTTTTAACACCATTGTAATCTAGTATCTATTTAAACCCGTTATCTAATTTGCCCTGTTGGCCATTGTATAATTGATGTTGGACATTGTATAATTGATAACTGTTGTATAATTGATAGCTGTTGGGCATTGTATAATTGGTAGCTGTTGCTATAAAATGTTATGAGAAAATATTGTTATTAAAGGGTAAAATTACATATATATATATATATATATATATATATGTATATATATAAATTTTCACTATTATAACGTAAATAAGAATTATTTTCATTTTTTAATTATTGTCATTGTTTGATCCATACATAAACACTTAATCCATTTTCAAAAGTTTGATCCATACATAACTTGTGCACCAAAAAAGTTTATAAAAATCTTTAAAAAAATATATTAATAGTCATGGAGCGTTTACTTTACTGAATGTTAATTGAAAAGTAAAAAAAAATAGTTTTAAATAATATTGGGTTAGCTATAATGTAATGAGCGATTTGTCTTGAAATTATTAGAAAATTCTGAAAGTTTAAAGAAGTTTCCATGATTTGAGTATTTATAGAATGTGAAACAGCATATAAGACTAATGAAATTTTTTCCATTACAATTTCTGTATATTAAAAAAATGGACGACGTTAAAGACCAAGTGCGATACTGGCTGCTTTATGAGTTTGAGCCAAGCCACTTAGCAGCCGATGTTACACTAAATGCATGCAGCAATATCGGTCCGCGCTTGGTACCTTTTGTGATAGAAAAGTTTTGATTTCAACGCTTTCTTAAAGCAACTTAAAGTTGTAAGGTGGACCCAGGCCCAGCAGACTAATAGAACTTAACTTAGAGCGTTTAATGCAGCTAATCAAAAGCAATCTTAGAAAAACCACGCACTGTTTTGCAAACAAACTTGGATGCTTTTAATGAACTACAAAATACCATTTGCAAAAATTGAGAAAATTGAAACCTCCAAGCTCACGGATTGCTTGTCACGTGACTTGAATGATCAACCAAGTAAGTGAGCGGGTACCTGCATGAACCATTTATTTTTATACCATATATTTTACTTAAATATGAAACTGGTAATGCCTAAAATTTAGTTTATTTATAGAGACTTTAATAGTTAAAGTCTCATTAAATAAGGTAGCTACGCTCACCAGCTATTTTTAATTGTTTTATGTTTTCAGAAATGAATATTTTTTTTTGGATTTTGTAAGCTTGGTCTTTTTTCTTTAGTCTCATGTATTTTTTTTTTTTTTTGCAATCTTATCAAATACAATGCAAATAAAATGATAATTTACTAGAAGATATAGTCTGTTGAAAATAGTGTACAAAGAAATTTCATTTATTACCTGTTGTAATTAGTGTTTTACAAGTGCACTGGGATAGTGTATTCATAATATTTTATTTTAGAGTATATACAATCCTAGCCAACTAATCTTGTAAAAAAATTTTCTTAGAAAGACTTCAGAAAAGCAGTGAAAAGAAAAAACAGCAGATTGGGAAAGAACACTTTTTTATTTTTTAATTCTATACGTTTTTTTAATCTTTAATTTTATCTATAATTTTTCAAATTTTACTTCTTTACATAAATATTTACCAACAAAATATACCATTTTGTAAGAAAAACCATATCGTGTATAAAAAAGATACGGGATACCTTTGAAAAAAAAAACAATTTCTTTTAGTTCTAACAAATTTAACAAATATTTATTTTTTAAATTGAGAAATAATATTTTAAAAAACAAATGAATAAATCTTATTCTGAGAATAAAAAATGCAAAAATCAAATAAAATATCAAATCGGTTACAAATTTTGAATTGATTTAAAATCCCCACACTCGTTCTTTCACTAACAAACAACGGTCCTTCGTCGAACTTGGTCAATATAGTAGTATCAAATTTAAATGGAGTTTTTAGAATTAAAAAAAGCTAACTCTGCAAATGTTGTATTATTTTGGTTGGAGGAGTAAGACAGAGTACTAATAATAGAATTAGGTGTAAGACATATTTCTATCAGTAAAAACAGGTCGTCGCATAAGAATTTTGGTTGCAAGTGTAAGACAGATTGCTAATAATAAAGTTAGGTGTAAGACATATTTCTATCAGTAAAGACAGGTTGTCGCATGAGAAGTTTGTTATTATTCTAAAACTTTTCAAATTGTTGAAAATGTTTTACTGTTTTCATTCTTTATAATTATAAACTATAAGTCGTTTATGATATTTATATTTCACAATTAAACTATAATAATATTCATATAATTTTTATGATTTAATTATAATATTATTTAAATTATTTATATTATACATGATTAAACTATAATATTATTTATATATTTTTTAAATTGTTTTTTTTTTTTTTTTTTTTTTTTTTGTTATTAATTAATAATTTATTAAAACTGTAATTGTTTAATTCTTATAACATAAAAAGCGGTTTTCATGATTTCTATAATTCTCATCTAACGGTGTGTAAGACAGTGCTGAAAGTAAAAAAGTGCGTTTAATTTGTTTTAAAAAAGGTTAAATGTGTTTTTTTTCTTTTAGGTTGGGGTAAAATAAATCCGTTTGATTCAATGCATCATAAACTCCAACAAGCAATGTTGCCGGTTGTCGACAGAAAGGCGTGTCATTCTTTCAACAAGAACTTTACTCTGTTAGACGTAAGATTTAAAATAAACGCTTATTTGTTCATTAGTTCATTTTATATAACAGCTCTTCTTAAGTTAACATATTTCTATTCAATAGGTCAATGAAAGAATGATTTGTGGTGGACATGGACCATCTAATCCTACTGGAGGTTGCCACGGTGACAGTGGAGGTCCTTTTGTATGTCAAGCTAAGAATGGACAGTGGTATTTACAAGGATCTGTGAGCTGGGGATCAGCGCGCTGCAATACAAAAGAAGCATACACTGTTTTTGCTAAAACATCATACTTTAGAGAATGGATTGATTTACAAACTGCATAAAACTGCATAAATTCAATTTACTTTGTCTTTCTTTTTGATTTTACCATTCCAACTTTTAAACTATTTACTTATTCTAAACAGTTTAAATTTATGAGATTTTTTTTCATTTTAACTGTGATATTGAAAAGGTATGCAATTTTATCATTGACTTCTATATAAAATCTAAAACAGAATAAATAATAAGACTTTATTATTTTTTTTTTTTTTCGAATTTGAAAAAATAGAGACTCTATTTTGTTAGGATTTTGTAATGACATTGTAAGTTTGAGATTTGCTATCTTCTTTGCTAGCTTTTGAAGACGTTCAAAAGACTTTCAGAACGTAGCTTTTTAAGAAAGTGACCCTTAGCATAAATAAAGAGAGGCCCGAATAAAAAGTTTAGCCCTTTCGTTTTCAAAAAATTTGAAAATTTTTTGAAAACGAAAATGCACTGCGATCACCAATGACGTTTTGGAGAGCCCGAGACCTGCACTAACGCCACTCGTCAGGGGCGTGTCCTTGCAACAAATCTCACCGCCTGCACTCTACGTCATGCTAGTCAATATTGCAATATATAGGACTACACTACAAAAGCCAAAAAACCCAATCCCTATCCCAGTTTTTGAAAACAGCTCCAACATTCTTAGAGATCTCGTGAGGGTGGTGAGGGATGCGCGTGGTGTGACCATAAACAGATATATAAACACATATAAATACAAGATACCCTTACATTAGAAGAAATAAACTTGTACACATGTATGTATGCGCTTGTATAAATAAACAATTATAATTTGTAAAAATAACACAAAGTGAATAGAAAATAGTAATTAATAATTAATGATAACTTACCGTTTCTTTTATGGCTGAAATATATATTATAAATATAATAAGTAAATACCACTCATAAGCATTGATACTGAGTTAAGATGTTTTGTGGTTAGAACGAAAGTAGCTAAACGAAAGTATGATAATGCTTATGCTTGCTTCTTATGATAATGATATGCTTCTTACAAATATACGGCCTGAATAATATACAAATATGCAAGTGGCCTGAATAATATACAAATATACGATCTGAATAAATATACAAGGATAAGGTAAAAAAAGATTATGAACAAAAGTATATAATAAAGAACAAATGTTTGATATACTGATTTTAGAGGCTGTTGATGTCTACAGGTGTGATGGTGTAGTGCATCAGTATGTACCGTTTGGTCGTTTAGTATTGTCTTGTTATGCTTTTGTTCACTTTCAAATCGGGTGAATAGACAGCTCAAACACACTCATTCCTTGCGCTTATGGGCTAGAACATCAGAGCCAGACGTAAGACCTACAGAATGGATTTCAATTATTCGAATGCACACATTAGTCACCATAGGCCACAAGCCATCACTCTTAGCCAAAAGAGCCACTGCCCCGTGCTGGTGTGGAATGATGTGCTATGGAGTGAGATTTCAGATCCGAGCACATAGTCAACAAGTGCTGATCCGATGTGCATTGTGGAGCTTCCGACTGAACGTGTGCGTGAGTGTCAGCGTAGTCATTAGGTTATTTATCGCCGTAACCACATCCAGCGGGATAGCCTAATGTCCGTTTTGTCGTTGTGGTGTACATGTGAAAAAGTCGGGGCTCACCAGCCACAAAGAATAAAATTTTTTGTTTATGCGACACAATGATCGCAAAAAGTGACCAACGGAGCCGTCCAGTTTGGTAGACCTGAGAGATGTGGTAATGAAAACAGTTAGAAGATGGTGTCATTGAATAAAAAATAAAAATCATAAGAAAATATAAAATGAGTGATAAGGCTTTTGTGAAGGTGAAGAACGAAGTTAGATACTCGCGGGGCAGGGGGAGAACCAACTAACACTAGTCACTCTGTGTGTAGATCATATGTAACAAAGAACAAATGTTTGATATATTGATTTTAGAGGCTGTTGATGTCTACAGGTGTGATGGTGTAGTGCATTAGTATGTACCGTTTGGTCGTCTAGTATGGTCTTGTTGTGTTTTCGTTCACTTTCAAATTGGGTGAATAGAAAGCTAAACACACTCACTTCTTGCGCTTATGGGCTAGCACATCAGAGCCAGACGTAAGACCTACAGAATGGATTTCAATTGATCGAATGCACACATTAGTCACCATAGGCCACAAGCCATCACTCTTAGCTAAAAGAGGCAGAAGTTATATAAAAGCTGAAACGTTTTTGTTTAGTAATTTATTCAAACAACTTTAAAGAGATTATAGAAGTAAATTGCCATGAGTGAAAACTAATGTGAAAACTTCAATTTTAACGTTTTTAATATTTACGGAAAGATAAAATAAGACGTTTTTAGTCATTTATTAAATATTTTAATGCTGTAAACAAGAAGTCTTTTTACTTTTTTGAATGTAAATACTTAACACATTTGTAATAATAACAACAATAAATAATAATAAATTAATAATAACAACAATAAATAATAATAAATTATATAAGGAAAGTTTAAGTTTTACTTTTTAAAAATATATTACAGTAATAGTCGAAAATAAGTAAAAAACATAAAAAAATAAAGTTTAAAAATGTAAATTTTTGTTTTTAAGAAATGCAAATCATTCGGATCTCTCCTTAACTACGCTGAGCCGTTGGAAATAGTAATTTTATTGTTTTCATCAAAACAAAATAAAACAGTTTTGAAACTTTTTGTTTTGTAAATATAAAAAGATATAAAAAAAATAGAATAGTTAATTAAATTTTATTAAAGCAGTATTATGCAATAGTTTGTATTGTATTCAGGGCTGTCCCAAACAGGGGGTGCCCCCCCCAACCTTTAAAATCATTTAAGCATTTTAGTTGGCACATGGAGCAAGATTTGAACTATAGTTGGCAAATTGTAAGTATTGAGGATCTTTTTTTTTTTTTGGTGTCTCCAGTTGGCAAAAAATAGATACAACACCCCTTCCCCCATCGGAAGACCTCTTCGAGATGGCCCTGATTATATTGTAAGCTTACTTACAATACAGGCACAACTTTTGTTAGTATACTGATAATACAGGTACTTAAAATCCAATTAAACATACAATACAGGCACAACTGTTGACACAATTTTAGAAACAGGACCTATACCTTTAATTAATCGTCCTACTGGAGTAACAATAAACTGAGCTATCCTTACTGATAATATAATTATAACCAAAATTTTTAAATAAAGATATTCAAAAAGGTTTGCATTTGATAATTTTTCTATATTCCTTACTATAAACTCAAATTTAGAAAAAATTATATCACCTAAACAGTTGTAACCCAGAAAACGCACAAACGTCTATTAGACGTTAAAACAACGATTAGGTTTGGTCGATTATCCGTTTAGAATAAAATCTAGAACAACGTTTAAAACGAACGTTCATAAAAACTTTGATATTCAAACGTATTTTAGACGTTTATCATAGTGTTTTATATGTATATAAAGCGCTAAGATTTAGTCAAATTTACATTTAGATCTAGTGTAATAAACGCATTTAAAGCGTTTAGATTTAGTCTAATTAAACTTATATTAAACTTTTAGATCTTGGATGAATACTTAGCTATCCTTGCTATGCTTAATTGGATGAATGCTCAGCTATCCTTGAGGCTCTCTTTTGGTATTTATAGAGCCTCTCTTAGGGATAGTTGTAACTCCATTGAGCTGTAAAACGTGCATCTCCATAACTACCCAAGTAGCAAACAATATTGGCGTAATATTGGCACGATATTGGGTATCTTGGCTAATCTTGGCCAAGATATCCGATATTGCGCCAATATTGTCAAGCAATATTACAAACAATATTTCGCAAATATTATCCCATTTTCGTTTTACTGATATTGTTATGCCAATATTGGCGAAATATTGCGCCAATATTATTCCATTATCGTTATACTGATAAGGACCGGCGAAGTCGACTTTTCAAGACCCGAATTTAACTGAAAGACGAATTTAGACCATATGTAAACACCGAATCTAACTGGAAGACGAATTTAGGCTATAACAGAACCCCGAATTTAACTGAAAGACGAATTTGGACCTTTTAACCGAATTTTACTGAGAGCCGAATTTGGATTTCAAAAACACATGTAATTGAAAAAGAAATTTGGACTTTTATGTTGAGTTTTAACTGTTTTTTTTTTTGTTTTGTTTTTTGTAGTTATTAAAGTGCTTCCTTAAGTCTTAACAGTTTTACCACAGAGCACCGCGGAGGAGCATTTAACTAGGAAGTTCACGCCTCATTCCTTTTCAATTTCGCATATTGGACCTCGAATTTTGGATCTCTGGGATCTGATCCAGAACTCTAACCACTGCACCAAAACTGCGTTATCATCCATTATCTTGCATTAGCTTAACTTAACATGCATTAGCCAAATTAATATGCATTTAATAATTTTAAGAATGCAATTTGATAATTTAAAGAATGCAAGTAGATTGATCTTTAGCAAATAGCAGAAAATATTACAAGTTAAAACCTTAAACTTTATCTTATAATTTTAAATATTTTTGCACTTTTTGATAGTTCTGTGTAATGTAGACAAGCTTTTTTACATTGTTGTTGTTAAGATTGGTTCGGGCCCAAGTGACAACTTGCCCAGCTGCAGAAAAGACTTTTTCTGAAGAAGCTGATGAACCTGGAATGGAATATATTTTCCTGAAAACGGATGCCAGCAACACAAGTGAAACAAAGTAATTTTTTATTTATTGAAACAAAAAATATACGTTTACAAAAAACAACAACTTGCGTCGAAAAAAATAAATGTATTATCTAAAAACGCCGCAATAATGAGAATTTAATTTATGCAATCTTTACGAAAGTTAACAAAAGAATAAACGACGTTATTTAAAAAAATTTCAAAAGTCAATTTTGTAAAGGAAAATGATCGTGAAGAATGTAAAATATTTTCCTTTTTTTAACTTGAGGATTTTTTGAAAGTAAAATTTAATAAGTGATGAATTGTTTTTCTGAAAAAAATAAAAAAAATAACAATTATTAAAATTCGAAAAAGTTATTTTTTTTATAAAAATTAAAAAATG